AAAAAATTCTTTGAAAAAAAAAAAAAAAAAAAGAAATACAAAAATGGTGAAGAAATAATGTACTTCTTTTTCAACCTTTTCCTGGCCCTAAAGAAAGCATTTCCCTTCTACTGCAAATAATGGAAGGGAATGTATTTAGACTTCCCCATAGATTACACATGGCAAGAGCTTGTGGGACAGAGTTTTGTAGTATCTTTCCTCGTGCTCTCTTCTGGGGCTTTCACAGATTCCATACCCTGAGTTTAGAAAAAATCAGCCTGGCAAATAAGTAGGACAGGGTAGGAAAATCTGATGTTCTATCCATTTTTGTTGTGACAAAGTCTTTCAGACCTAAGAAATCAGAAAAGTAAGCAACAATGGCACATCTAGATAGAATTCTATGGTTAAGAAATAGCTCCAATTCAAACAGTTCAAATAAAATTCCAAATATTTTGCATGGTTTTATGATAGAAAACAAAAGGAACTCAAAACTTCCTCTCTTTGTCCTTGGACTACAAAGTCAAGTGTTTCTTATGTTTAATTATGCAGAAATCTTACTAAGGAGATATTTTTAAACAAAATATAAACATTTTTAGAATTTCCAGACCAGCAGGGTTAGAAACAATTGAGAGTTTTTATAGCCAGCACCTGCATAAAGAGTTACAGAACTGGGTCTAGCAAAGAAACGGTAATCATTTCAACATTATTCTTCAGTAATATGGTAACAGCACAACTACATTTCTCTGGTTATTTGCTTGAGTATTCTTCTTCATCCATATTCTTACATAGTGCCTATTCTTTGCCCTTTGCTCTATACCAGGCATGTCAAACTGCCAGGCTGCGGGCCGGATGCATCATACTGAAACCGTGCCCACCCCATTGCTGGCAATGGGGAAAAAGTCGTGATATGTCGCGAGTTTGACATATGCCTGCTCTATACAAATGAACTAAAAACACATCATACTGCTTATTTATAGATTTGGCTACCTAACCAAAAAAGAAAACACAACAGAGAACACTAAAGGTTCATTATATTACAACCCATAAAATAATTCTCGGGAATGTTGTTGTATTTAAAATCTCAAACTAGGGTTGGGAACACCAGAGTTCAAGTCCACCCTCACTAGATCTTCCAGTTCAGCCGACCTTAAAGAGTTCTATTATGGGAATAAAATGAAGTTTAGACAAGATCCCTACATATGCCACCTTGAGCTTTTGGAAGAAACATAGGATATAAATATATCAAACAAAAGTACTAGATAAAATGAAGTCTTTTTCTTAGGAATAAAATAGCTTATTTAAATCTCCTTTGCCTCCACATTCCCCTCAACTAAGTCTAGGACATGGCAGCACTGATATAACCTTTTAAATCAAGTCTTCGGATCTCAGTGGCATGAAAAAGTTAAGCTTTGGATATAATTAAGAATACAGAGCACACAAAATACAGAACACCCTATACTGTTTTGAACTCAAAATGTTTTGTAAACTCTAACAAATTATGATAATACATAATTAAATGATACAGTTTTCAATTTGAATCTACATAAAATCCTTGCTTTTCTCTCCATCTCAATATTATGACTGAGTAAAAGACTGTGATAGATGTAGCTTGATAATATTTACTGTGCCTTTTATTTATGTTTTTCCGTCTGGAGAAATAGGCATAATTTTGAGATAAAGAATGAAGTGAACATGTAACTTACTGGATGTCTTTAGCTCATCCACTATATTCCGATCAAACCTTTCTTGAAATGCTCTTGTGAGATAAAATAAGATTGTCATGTACGCTCCATTAAGATTCCCAGTAGGAAAATAGGATATAAATATAATGCAAAATAAGAATTTATCATTTTAAACTAAAATAACAGTGCAGGAATTTTCTTTAGCATTTTGTTTTCCGAGAGCAGGAAATGTTCATTTGAAGAACATTCTTCATTCTATTCAAGCTTAAAACTGAAACAAAACTATAAATCTTTCTTACTGCTATATTGATGGGGTACTGCAAATTCCTGCAGCCATTCTGTTAATGACAACTTCAAAGCCATCTGTGGGCTATAAAGAACATCTGTTTCAATATCTTCATCACTTCCTTCATTTTCTAGTTTAATCTGGATTGATACTGTACTGTCTTCAGTGTCAGCTGCAGAAAACACAGGAAACAGCATACTAAATGGTATAAAAAAGAATCAAAATTGCTGTGTTTGCATTTAAATAGAATTCCTTTAATTGTTAATACCACCCATTATTTTAAGAAGATTCATATAATTCTTCATTGAAGTAACGTAATTTGCAGTTGTTCTAAAGTTTGACCTTTAAAATTATTAAAACTGGCTATGCAAGACAATCCTACTGCAGCCAGATAAAATTTGTTCCAAATTAATAATTCCAGAATACACGGAATTAATTTGGTGTTTTGCATAAAAATCAATCTCTTTAGTAAGAAATCCTAAGAATTAGAAGCCTAAGAATTTTTTAATCTGCACCTTTGTGAAATGAGTGATCTAATAAGAAACAGGTATCTAAACTTTAATCATGTTCACTAATAGCATTTAATCTATTATTTTCTTCCATTTGTTTGTTTTCCTCTTTCATTATTCTTTTTTGTCAACATGCGTGAAAACTTCATTAGTATCAGCTCTGGGGATCCACTGTATTCCAGATGTCAGCTACAATTTCAAGCCAGTAAGTCCAGGTCATGCTACATGTTTAATTTAGCATTATCTGGATGGGTTTTGATTGTTGCATTTCACTCTTTACCATAGCTGTCAATATTTTAAAGATAGCAACCTTTTTAAATATTAACTGGATTGCAAAATTTTCCCTGCCAACCATCAACAATATGTTTTCATATTAGATAATGCATCACATTTCCTAAAGAAAGCCATTTGATTAGAATGTAAATCTTTGTTGTATGCCGTCCAGAATTGCTTTTGGTGAGATGGGCAGCTATATAAATTAGATAGATAAAGTAAACATTACATAAAACAGTGTGCAATATCCAATCAATCAACTCACTCATCACAACATCTTTCCTCACTCCATTCATGTTGGATTTGTACCAAGTTGCAAGAGTGTGAATTGCAACAAAATTAGCTTCAAATTCACAATTTGGATTTGTCAGGACCCCTTTTAAGCGTGGTATGAGTTCTGTTGATCGGCCTTTATATGGCCCAAGAAACAGTCTTTTCTGATCATAGTCATTAGCATGAATGTTGTCCCAGATAACAGGAGCTCTGCGAATTATTTTTGAAACCTCCTCAATAGACTCCACTGAAATATCTTTAGATACCACTTTGGGACCTAAAATGGAAATAGTTGGATTAAAAAATGTGGACATGGTATATTCAAAAGTAATAATATTTAAAAATTGCACTAAAATTTTCATTTAAAAAGGCTAAATTAAGCTGGTGACCCTTGCTCAAATTAAGAGCGAAATACTGATGCTCACCTGTCCATAATACATCAATTGCTGGTAGCAGTTTTTCTCCTACAGTTCGCAAGTAAGGAGACTGAGCAACATTTGGATAACAGAAAGTGCCACAATATTCTGGAAGAGAGAAAACAACATTTTTAAGTTGAAAGCCCAAAACAGGCAAAGAGAACTTTCAGGTACTGATAGATATCCTGCCAAGAGAATTACTGTAGATATTGGAAACCAGATATATGAACTATGTATCTATATCTTAGTATCACCTAAAATTATTGAAGTATTTATAATATACTCAAATTGCAAGATGAGCGGCATGTAGATTCAATAAATAAACAAATAAAAATAATATACAAACAAAATAAGCATCAATATTGTATTTTGAGTGGATTGAGAACCCACTGCAGGAACAGACTAGACTTTCTGGTTATTATTTTAGAGTTCTAAGAGAATGCAGAAGCTTATTCTCAGAATTTTTCAAGTGAAAAAAGTTAGCTTTCAGAGTTAAGAATAAGGATATGCAAAATATTCCATGCACAGAACAGCTAGTTCTGATGGTCCTTGCATATAAGAAACAGGTTCACTTACTCCACATTTTAGGATCTTTCCAGAGTAGATATAAATTTAGGTAATTTATAATTATCTAAATTATAGTTCGATAGTTCTGTCAATTCTGTTCCAGAAAATATGAAAACAATAAATATTTCAATAAAAAATATTTTAAACTTTTAAACTTGCAATAGTTTTTTCTGAATTCTAAAACAACATATGAAGATGTGAAAATATTCCTGGAACATGCGATATCAAGCCTATATCCAATTTTATAATTAGTAGCTGTATTAATTTTGTAACAATAATAAGTGCCACCAATTTAGCATAGCATAGTCAAAGATGTTTTATCATCAGTTGCGCTCTCTGTAACTTTATAGGCTGAAAGGGAATTTCAAAATTAAAAATATGTCACTTTATCTTATCTAGTTTTTTATTAATTTGCTAAAACTGAATGAATTATGCAGTGAAAAAATTCATTCATTCATTCGTTCATTTGACGATCTATATGACCACCCATCCTATGAAACAACTCAACACAACTCTGGGTGGCTCACAAGAATAAAAAAAAAAACATTAAAAAAAATCTGGTATCCAACTAACCATCTCTAATCCAACAAAAAATACAATCCTCAGGTACCAATCTCACCTGATCTGTGGGAAAAGCTTTTTTTTTTTTTTACAGCTTTTCAGAATGCTAAAAGGTGGGGGGCCTATTGGATCTCCGTGGGAAGAGGTTCCATAAGTCAAAGGCTGTTTTGGGAAAGGCATGCTTCCTAGGTCCCAGTAGATTTAAGGGAAGGGATCTTGAACATGTCCATCCTATCTAACCTGATGGGCAGGCAAGAACTCTCATGAAGAGCAGTCCAAGAAATAACATTGCCCTGTGCAATGTAGAGCTTTAACGGTAATAATCAGTACTATATATTGTACCTGAAAAGCAAGTGGGAAGCAGTAGCAGTTCATGCAACAATGTGACATGGGCAAACTGTGGGACATCCAACACTGGGCACACCGCTGCACTCTGGATCAATTGTAACTTCTGGGTGGTCTTCAAGAGCCCATCTGAATAACTATCAGCAAGAAATCATGCAAACTGGTCACAGAGTTCAGGTGGAGCTCTGTTTACTGCACCCTCCTAAAAGGGAGTTAGTTGCCTTTCCTATGGTTCAGAATTTAACTTAGCTTAGCTTACCTGTGGGGCAGAAGAGGAATGTTTCTGGTTCTCCAAGATATTGATAGATTTCATTGGTGATTGAAACCTGAGCATGGGCAAAGGAGCTGAACACTTCTTTATCTGCTGCACACATATTGTGATCAATGTCATCAAACAATAATGCAAAACATTTGCAACCAAACTGGGAAACCTAAAATAAAGACAAAATGCTAAGCACTGAAATTAAGAATTAACAAATCTATTCCAAAGGTAATTTATTTCAGTTTTAGCTCCACAGTTCAGGTTAAAAAAAAACCCCACTCCCTAACCAAAAAGTTTTTTCCTACTTCAATTGCACATAGGTTTACACAGGAAGAATAAAGGAAGAAAAGCAAAGCAGAACAATGAGAATATATACATTATTGTATTTCACCTAATTTCATGCAAAGCACCTAACACTGCAATATGTCACATTATTTCTGCTTAAGCAACCTCTACGTTTCACCAAATACAATATTCATTATGCAACAAAAAAGTGCATGTGCATATAATTGTGCATATAATTGCACAATTGCATGCATGTGCATATAATTGCATTCAAATGTTACTATTTCCTTCATAAATCAAAGAAACGCTTTTAGTAATGATGATACTGGATTTGTGTACATTTACTAAAAATAGTTCATTAACCTCATAAATTATTTTTCAGTTACAGCATGATGTGGAAAACTAATTTGAGTAAGTCACAAAATTCTCCAGATCTAACCACTAAATATTGATGCTGCATTTTTACAAAATCAACTGGACTGAGGTTCACAGTTTCCTTCAGTACCTCATGAATATTTTTTTTTTATTTTTCAAAGAGAATCTTTTGAAATGTATTTATAGAGAAATACTGTCTGAAAATAACACTGTATCTTCACACTCTATGGCACTGTTATGTCACCATATGCATCAAATATTGTATCCTGCTTTTCTTCCTCAATTTTATCTTTATAAAAACTATGAGGTAAGCACATACAAGTAGTTCTTGACTTACGACCAGTCACTTAGCGACTGTTCAAAGTTACAACAGACTCCCCAGGATACTTATGACTCATATTCCAAGTTCCAATGATCAGGGGCCCCTCGGTCACATGACTGTGCTTTAGGCAGTCAGAAACCAGGCAACATTTACAGCCATTTGCAACATCCAGGCCATGTTTTACTTCCAATTTTTTTTAAAACCAGCCCATAGCAAACCATGGATTTGCTTAAGGGCCATGGTGTTCGCTTAACAACCACTACTAAAAGACTGTAAAATCAGGTCGGTTACATGAGTCACCCAATCTACAACTATCAGGAGTTACAACCATGACAGACACGCTCTATTACAATTGTAACTTGTCAACTGTAGTACAAAAATAGTTCTGAAAAACTCATGCACATGGAACAAAATTAGCACTAAATATTGCTTGATAATATTTAATGAGTACATGCAATAAATTTCAAGTCTGTCAGCTATAAAAAATAACTACAATTGTTCTAATTATTTGATTCATGTCAGATTTCCATTGCTGCAACAATAGGTCTAGGCTATAACCAATAACCCATATTACAAGTTAGCACAACAGGGCCCAGTATTTCAAACAATGCTGCCTGTGAATAATTATACTATAATTATACTTTAATTATGATCTCATTAACATTTTAAACAACATAATATACACAAATGGTCAATACCTGATCTAGCTTGCGTTTCAATGTAGATACTTCTTTAGGGTTTGAGAAAGTAATATCAAGTCCAGGGGAAATGGCATAAATAAATTCTATTTCATATTCTTGAGCTGCTGCAATCAGAGTCATGAGCTGTTCTAGAAATAAAAGCCAATTATTTTAACAAGAATTGACCATAAATTAATCTATTTCATAAAATTAAATATATTGGTTTTATTTTTATATATATTAAAAGTGATTAAGGACGTTAATTGGGGTTTATATCATGTTTGTGTACAGTATGCAGAGTCTGGATTGAAAAAGTATATGAAGAATATTGCTAGTTACAAATGGCTGGATTGGTAGATACTGAAACACCTTTGAGATAAGGGAGGTCTATTCTGTTGATAGATTATTTCTGTGTTACATTCAATTAGTTGAACAACTTTCTGATGAAGTTGCTTGGGTGTCTATTGTACTGAAGGAAGTCTTGCAAGTAATTAATTTGTTTTGTAGTTCTGCTGTGTTGCAGTATAACCCACTTAATATGGTTTTAATGCAAGCTTTTTAATGTTCATGTAAATTTAACTATTAAATTTGGCTCATATGGGTAACTTTTCTTTGGACTTTGGTCTCGAAAAGAAAAGATTATTGGCAGTTCTCTCCCTCGCATCCAGGACATAGCATATAAGCACTGCTTGAGCAGGATCCGCAAAATTGTCTGGGACACTACACATCCTCTTCACGACCTGTTTTCCTTGTTACCTTCTGGGAAGAGGCTTCGTGGTAGAACATCCAGATTGTCAGTTTTGTTCCATACACTATTAATCTTGTGAACTCTAAAGCTTCCTCTTTCCACTATGTATTCAAGACGGACAGTGATTAATATTTATAAGTTATTTATATGTAAGAGTGTTAGGTTTATACATATGTTGTATATAGCATGTTTAAATGTGTTATATATGTGTACACTTTTGAGAGCAAGCAACAATAGGTTATCTATCTATCCATCTGTCTAGTATGCCTTGCTTCTGATGAGGAAAATATAGTTTGGTATTTGCTTCTTGTACTAAAACGTTTCTATCAAATGTGTGGTTGTTTAGGTAATTTGGGTTTTCTATCTGCTCTTTTTGGATTATGATATAGGCTGGTTGTATTAACAGAAGGATTAGTTTTTAATTGTTGCATTACTGCTTCTGCTATACATCTTGAAAGGAAGGGGTCTCATTCTGGTCCCCTTGATCTGTTTGTAATTTAATAATTGGTATGTCAATGAGTTTCAGTATTTTGATTTTTCTATATTCCATTAGATTGGGTGTAGAATAATACGGTGATTGCTTCATTAGCTAATTTGAGGTCAACTAAATAACGTTTGAAAATAGAGAGGTTAATTACCAGCTTCCTCTACAGAATACATTTCTCGCCAAAACATACGGTGCTTGTAGTCATCTTTCGGAGCATATAGGTAAGTATTTAGTCCCCATTTCTGAAGTCTATAAGGTTAAAAGATTAAAAAAAAGTGTATAAAGCTGAGAATGCAACTGCTCATCAGCTATGCTAAATTGTACACTACCAGTTGAAATAATATTTATACAATACCATACAATGGATATAAAAGTCTATATACTCTTGTTAATACCAGACTTTTTAGATGTAAAAAAAACCTCCACATCAAGATAAATCACTTCAGAATTTTTTCCACCTTTAATATAACATATAAGCTGAACAATTCAATTGAAAAACAAACTGAATTCTTTTAGTCGGAAAAATAAAACTCTTACAATAACATGGTTGCATCCTTAAACTAATTCTTTGTTAAAGCACCTTTTGATTTTATGACCACATTCAATCTTTTGGGACAGGAGCCTATCAGCATGGCACATCTTGCCTTGGGAATCTTTGCTTACTCTTCATTGGGCAAGCTCTACAAATCTGTCAGATTGCAAGTGCATCTGCTGTGCACAATCCTTTTCAGGTCATCCCATAGATTTTCAATTGCATTCAGGTCCAGGCTCCGACTGGGCCATTCCAAAACGTTGATTTTCTTCTGGTGAAGCCATTTTTCTTGTTGATTTGGAAGTATGCTTTGAGTCATTGTCATGTTAAAAGGTGAAATACCTCTTCATCTTCAGCGTTTTAGCAAAGGTTTGTGCCAAAAATGACTGGTAATTGGAATTGTTCATCGTTCTCTTTATTTTGACTAAAGCCCCAGTTCTGAGGAAAAGCAGCTCCAAACCAGGAGGAAGGTGTATTTTTGGTGATGCACGGTGTTATTTTTGCACCAACATACTTTATGGAATTATGGCCAAAAAGGTCAATCTTGGTCTCATCAGACCACAACATATTTTCCCACATGCTTCTATCAGATTTGATGCAATTTTCTGCAAAATGTAGCCAGGATTGGGTGTTTTTCTTTGTAAAAAAAGGCTTCTATCTTGCAATCCTACCCCACAGCCCAAAATATGAATACAGGAAATTATTGTCACATGAAATACACAACCAGTACTTGCCAGAAATTCCTGCAGCTCTTTTAATGTTGTTGTAGACTTCTTAGCAATCTCTCGGACCAGTTTTCTTTTTCTTTTTTCATCAATTTTGGAGAGACATCCAGTTCTTGGTAATCTTACTATTGTGCCATATCCAATGCTTTGGAAATAGTTCCATACCCTTCTCCTGACAGATACCTTCCATCAATGAGATCCCTTTGATGCTTTGTAAATTCTTTGTAGACCATGGTTTTTGCTATAAGAGGCTACCGAGTAAATGTCAGAAAAATTCTACTAGAACAGCTAAACTATATGGGCTTGATCAGAGTCATTTTAGTTGATGGCAGGTGAGTACTGCTATTTAACATTAATTTGAACATGATTAATTCTGAACATAGCCATATCCCTCCTTATAAGAGGGTGTGCACACTTATGTAGCCACATTATTCTAATTTTTATTTTTATTTTCCCCCCACTAAACAATTTCAGTTTGTTTTACAATTGAATTGTATAGCTTATATATTAAAGATGGAAACAATTCTGAAGTGATTTATCTTGGTTTGATTTTTTTACATCTCAAAAACCTGGCATTTTAATAGGGGTGTATAGACTTTTTATATCCATCAGACCTGCCCAAAATGCTGCTGCTGGCATTTTTTAAAAACTCAACAAATCAACCGCCAATAAACATTGCTGCCACCACCCAGTTTTTCACTATTACTGCTATGAGAGGCACACTATTGAAACCTCCAACTTAACTACAATGTCAGTTCTATTGTTGCTGCTATACTGCTAGCCACCAAATAGCTGATTAGTAACCCAGCTATCTGTGGCTCATGATTGTTTTAATGCATCAATGTGGCCCTTTCCCCTCCATGAGTTGGACCTCCTGCTATAGATTTTTCTCACAATAATGCATTGATGCAAAACATAGGAAAAGTATAAATGTTATAAAAACAATAACAAAAACAATGGTAAGAAAAGGTCAAACAGTTACTAGTTTTCAAAGGTAAAAAATAATTGTTTCTCAAATCTTTTGAGAGCCAGGAGCTGAATAAACATTGTGGAAGCAGATTTCATAATATCATAAGTGCAACAGAAAAAATCATGTTTCTATATCAACAAATATAGAAAAATAGTAAAAAAAAATAGAAAGTTCCAATTAGATTGTTTGATATAATGAAGTCCCAGACTATTCAGTACTTTAAAAACCAACAACCAGCTCTTTGAAATAGGATGAAAATTAGTTTCAAAAGGAACCCTCACTGCTAGAATATGACTAATAGCAGTCAAGGATATGTAGATGATTTATAAATTGGAGCTGAATAAATGCATTCTGCACAATAGAAGTCACTTCAGATTGCTATTACTCATATTTCAGATTACCGTGTCATTCCAATCCGACAGCATTGCCAGGCCCACATACTTAATATTGTAGAGATAACTCTGTTCCTAACAGACATTTCTATAACCAATTTATAATACTGATGCTTACATTATGATCACCTTATATTGGTTAAGCTTGTTATGGTAAAGTTCATGTCTGGAGTTGCCAAAAAGAAGAATCGTAGCTGAATTAAATTCTATTTCAGCAGAATATCCCAAAGGAGGACATTTATTGTGGATAGTGGAAATGAAAAATGTCACATCAGTGAAGGATGGGATATGTAATCCCTTTATTTCTCAGATATCCCTATTCCCATCTTGTAAATTTCATGTTTTTACTGCTGATAATACTCATGATTGGATCATTTATTTGTGGATGGATCTTTATTTAGAATCATGTCCCTAATATCAACAAAAATATCCAAATTTCTCCAAACCACTTGGAGCCAATGTAAGCCAATGGGATGTGAAATACAATCCTGAAGTATAAGGAACAACAGTGCCTTAACTTTATTTTCTGGAACCTGCTTTTTAAAAAAATTAAGGGAAGAAAAATTAAAATCAGTTGTTTGCTTTTAAACCACATATAATGTATTAATCATAAAGTGACATCCATGCAAGTATTTTGGAAAACATGTTGCAAATTAATGAAGACAACAATTACATAATTTTGTAATAACTTACTGTTTATTATTTGGTTCTTTAAATCTATGCTTTAATTGCATTTTGGACAATCAAACAATTACATAGCATAAAACTGCAGAACAAGCATGATGTCATATACCTTCTAAAAAGCTCCTTTCTCTGTTCCATAACCCAAGGTCTTCCATAAAAACCTGTAAGAAATTTTGAAGGTAAAATTTAAGTATTAAAACTAGTTTGAAATAATTAACCTTCACAATAGAAAGCTTTGACCAAATGCGTTTTCATAATATTCATATAAAATAGAATTTATAATCTTCTCTTGCCTACCTAATTTCTGCACCTGTGAGAAACAGTTGAAACAGAAATCCTATGTGAACAGATGTAACAGCAGATGGAGTGTACCACTTTGAAGAACAAGAGTGGAATTTACGAATTCTCCTGGACTGATGGTTCAGATTACAGTAGCAGCTAAGAATTATTTTCCCTTATGATTCTATGCTAAATAAGTATCTTATTTGAAGACGTTTGATCTTAACCTCAGTTACCCATGCATATCTGGCAAGAACATTTTAATATGCTGTATGACTGCAAAGCTTCTCCTAGTTTGATCAAGACCATATAATTGGTTTTTTATTGTGTCATCTGAATTGTTTGCCAAAACAAACCGTTATTTGAAAGACTGCTTCATCCATATTACTTACCAATGGTTTAAGATTCACAACAGTATTCCTTCTTACAAACCCATACTAAAGTACTTAGCATGGGTGACATAAAGATTTTCTCTAGTAATAGCAACCTATTTTAGAAATTTTAGAAACAACTAGAATCTAAAAGATTTCATCATTTCAGTTTTTTTAAAACTTAAATGATTCATTTTTCTTTGGGTATTCTATTACATTGCTGAATTGCTGCTTTTTAGTTTATTAGATTTTTAGCCTCCCTTTATTACCATATAAGTAACTCAAGATGGCATACATAATACTCTTTCCTCCTCCTATTTTCCCCACAACAACTCTATGAGGTGAGTTGGGCTGAGAGTGTATGACTGGCCCATCTGTCATCCAGCTTTTTCGTTAATTTTATCTTGGAAAGGTAAAGGTAGCTTGAAGATGTTTAGTATTTTAAAAAATAAATAATAGCACTCAAAAATTATGGAAAGATTCATTTAAAAAGTAGAAGTCATTCAATTAGTTTTGCCTTAAGCAATTTAGAGCTTTATAAATGAATTGAACTCAAAGGCAACTTTAAATAAGGCTAATTCAAGACTGTCATTATATACCCTGCAAAATGTGTATCAGTCAACAATATAACTGCCATATTTTGCAGTACCTGTACATTAATAATAATAATACTTTTTAAACACTTCAGGGCAGCTTTATATAACAAAAATAAACAATTAAGGTATATGAAGGAATATCCAGCTGCCACTTGATCTTCCAATAGCAGCCTCAGAATCAAGATTATTGCAAAATTGCACATACAGTTAAGGAATACACTAATAATAAGGTTTAATGGTGTAAGAGGCATTGGAGAATTAATCTATAATCTAATCCTCCAACTTTTCCTGGATTTGTCCCAATGTATTTGGATAAAAATAAGCTTTTGAAATAATGTCTATCTGAAAATCGGTTCTAATGCATTGATATTCGTATTAGTTCCCATAGCCACATCTTCTCCCACAGACCTCCATGTGGCTACTCAAAACGCTAGTGAAATTTTTTAACATTGTTACAAGTCTTCATTAACTCTCAGAAATCACCTCTTGTTCTGATCTTGTTTTCATACCAAGTCTTCTAGCACACATCCTTTAAAGATGGAAGCTTCTAGCATTGTGAGGGTCCTCTGAGGTGAAAGTGGAAAAATATCTTCCAAAATCACAGATTATGCTTCTTCAGATACTGTATTTTGTCCTGACTGGATCAATGATTACTTTAACTACTAATCTCAAAAATGTGAATATTAAAAAAAAAATAGGATTGCTATCACCAATCATAAGGTGCTCAATCCAAATAGCTAAAGAGACAACTCCATCTCCCAAAACTGGGAGGAATATCTATTTCTATATACATCAGCTCACCAACAAAACAATGTATGTTTTTATTATTTGCCACCTTTCCTTTCTAATGGCCATTCTGTATTTTTTTCTTCATCCTGTTTATAAAATCATCCCAGCATAATTTACAATAACTGCTACTTATAATACAAAATGTTTATATTAAAATAGATTGAAATATTTAAGTTCCTAAAGTTATAAGCACAAAAATTTCAATAATTGTCAGCATGGAAGCTGTTATGCTCCTCAGGTTGTCAAAATCATCAATCAGTCATTAAGTTTCGTATTCTAAAAAAGGCAGAGGGAAGGATTAAATCTATGCATTGCATTCCAGTTTACCTATACTTTAGCACAGTGGTGGCGAAACTATGGCATGGGTGCCAGAGGCGGCACTCGGAGCCCTCTCTGTGACACATGTGCCATTGCCCCAGCCTTGCCTCCCCCCCATGACCCCCTCCTCTCCAGCAGCCCCCCTGAAGGAGAGTCGCTCCAGAGCGTGGCCCACATGGAGCAGAGCAGCCAAGGACATGGCAGCCAGGCAGCGTAGACAAGACTCTGCCCTCACACCCCATCATGCAGTTGATGCTGCAGAGCGCGGGCAGAGGGTGTGGTCGCCATAGTGCTGCTGGGCTGCCTGGGTGATCTGCTGCGGGCCCTGGAGGCGAGTGGTCCTGTGGGCAGGCGGGGCAGGGGCGGAGCGGGGGCGGGGCCAGTTTTGGGGCACTCAGTCTCTAAAAGGTTTGCCATCACTGCTTTAGCACATGTGCAGTTGAATACACATGTGCAGTTGTAAGCACATATTACAACTTCAATTGTTAATAATGTTTTCAATATACTGGGATTGATGTGATATTTACTGCACATCTGGAAATATTTGCTAATCATCCAAATTCTATTATTCCATTCCTGAAGTTTGCACAAAACAATTAACCTAGATGCATCTTCCTCCATATTAACCATATTACAATAATTAAACAGAAGCTTATTTTTTCATCTTTATGTATCACTGCTTCTCTCTGTTCTGAGACAAATACTTTGCTATAGCGCAAACCAATAAAACAAACGGTAACTGCAGCCAATATGGTTACTATGTGGGTAGAAAGAAAACCAATCCAAGATTTCAATGATATCCTTAGCTATATGTTTTAAGTTCACTCTAGAATAGAAAATGGTACAGTACCTAAGCAAAAATATTTCCTAAACCTGCAGTAGTCTATTTTTGTAGGCAACAGTAAATCTAGTAATTATATAGGCCTTTAATTTTAAAATAACCAATTATGTATTTCCCATATCCAGTGAACGCACCTTGAATTAGTCATTTTAAAAATAAAGTTATTGCTTTCAATGCATAGAAAAAACAAAAACCAAAGATAACAAAATATCAATACAACACATATATATTGCAATTCATAAATAAGAAAATCTCAGTATTTTTAGTAACTGATTAAAACGAACACATCAGCCTTTGCTTAGGAAAAAGTCTGAGAAAATGAGTAGATATTAATTAAAAAATTTATATCAGGCTTCATAAGCGATCATGGATGAGCACAAATCTACCCTATCAAACATGTTTATTAGATGTAGTTAACACTATAGCCCAGGGGTAGTCAACCTTGGCTCTTTTATGACTCGTGGACTTCAACTCCCAGAATTCCTGAGCCAGCACAGCTGGCTCAGGAATTCTGGGAGTTGAAGTCCACGAGTCATAAAAGAGCCAAGGTTGACTACCCCTGCGTATAGCCTAATGGGAACAATCTGCTAAATATTCAGAAAGTTTGCAGCTCAGACAATTAATCTTCAGAGGATGCACCTACCTCTATATTATTTTGTGTTTTCATCCATCTTATCTATAGTGCTGTAACATATTTTTTTTTAAAAAAAGCATACATAAAAAGCCCTTCGCAAACAATTCAATCTGTGGCTCTTCTTTTAAAAGACTTTAATTTCACGCCTGATGGCATGTTAATCATCATCGGGCTTCTGCCAAGCTCACCGAAAGCGACCAATTGAAACTGGGGAGAAAAGGAGCCAAGTTAACCTCCACCGCCGCCAGATTTTACTGGTAGGGCGGAGTCAGGCGCTACACAAAGAGGTAAAGAGTAAGGAAGGCAGGAGGGGGAGCACCGCTTTGTTCAATGGCGGGTCCTCTTTCTCAGCGCTCTTTATCGTGACCCAGCCCCGGGTCCCTCCCGTTTCCGAGATCTCCCCATTACCTTCCACAACGCCGCAGAGGAATCGCCGTGCTCCCGCGCTGCCCACAGCTCCGGAGCCACTCTCGGGAACCTCTTCTGGGCCCGAGGGGTCCGGTCTGGTAGGGGGCGACTCACTTCGGGGTGAGGAAACGGCCGTAGAACTAGGAACGGACGCGTCCTGGGGTTCCCCCCGGGTTTCAGCGACCATCCCAGCCAGATCCACTCCAGGGCTGCCGTCCGCCGCCATCGCCCTTCCCTGCACTCTAACCAGGGTAGGTTGCGCTTGCGCGGAGAAAACCAGCCCCAACCGGTCCAAGCCGGAACCAACCGCTCCGCTCCCTTGATTTCCAACCGGGACCGCGGTTGGTGATCACGTGCAGCTCCACCTCTCTTCCTCCGCGCGCCAGCCAAAAAACACGAACCGCGAACAAGCCACTCAACGCAACACTGGCTTCGGAGAATGAACGGACTATTGTAAGGGTGGGGGGCAGAACTGACAGAGAAACCTTACAGCGCAGGCGTGAGGGGTCTAGCAGACGACTAACTGCGCATGTTTAACAGGGTCAGAGGAACAGGGACGCGCTTGTACGCACGCGCAAAAATGAAGCCTCGCTCAACTGCGCATGTGATAGGCGTTGGCTTCGCAGCAAGGCATTAAAAGCGCATGCGTAGTTACTGGACAAATTCCGGGGGCGGTACGGCGCAAGTGAGAAGGAAAATAAACAAAGTAGCCGCTATTAAAGCGCAAGCGCAGAATTTAAAGCGGGAAAGGGAGCGATCATTTTGTTTAGGCGAATGTTGTCCAAGGGGGTGGAGTCTTGGGCAGGCTGAAAGGTTCAGCGCCTTCCTTCCGCATTATTTTCGTTTGTAAGCGGTTGAGGAGGAGGAGCCGTTTCTTACAGTATTTTGTGTCTGGTTGCTGAGCAACATTATCGGCGCCTAGGGAAAACTATTGCATACCGTCGGCCGTTTAACCTACAAGTTAAAAAATGAAGTAACTCAGCAATACGTATTAGAAATATTATGTTTCACCGGTAAACCAGAAAGCTTTTCGATTGCCGTGTTTTTCAGCTGTAAAAAAAATCCCGTCACAAAGCCTGGAGAGTTATCGGCTGCCAAGCAGCCCTGAGATAGAAAAGCGGCATTAATTTGTTTCGCTTATTCAATAATTTCCCTCTAATTTTCAGCGAAGAAGCTTGTCTCACCACTACAAATGTGTTGCCTAAATATATACTGCTCAAAAAAATAAAGGGAACATTTTACCATGGAACTGAAGGGGTTTGCGTTCCCTTTATTTTTGAGAGCAGTATATTATCTCTTATTCTTGTCCAAGCCGGGAAAAAAGTAAACTTTCCGACTCCAGATCTACTGCTACCGTAGTAACTCAGGATGTTTTTGGCAACTTCGCAATTGCCTTCTGTGATTGTTTTTCTTTTCGACCTCGCTGGCAAGCCGGTAGCCCTGAGTTTCCTTAACACGGGAGAAAGGGCAATGCTGATGAAAACTATAATAGTTTGGGTGGATGAGAAGGAACGAGGAGAGAATCTAGGAGTTCATTAGTAAAATACCAATCTAGCTAATTTAATTCTGTTAATTTGATAATCGTTGGATATGTGTGTGTGCTGGAAAGTATATATGATATGTTCACCAACTTGAGTTATTTATAAAAACAAAGGGGTACAAATAAACAGCTAGAATGGTAAAATACTTAGTACCCCTGATACTGTTTATATCATAGTATTTACATTTGCAGTAATTTTATATAGTTACCAAGGTTCAGTGGAGCAGGGGATACTAATGCTTTGAAATAAAATAAATATTACCTAATGTCAAGTACTGATAATAATAGATTGTAATTGGCAGGAAAAAAATGTTAAAAATAATCATTCCTTGAAAAATTGCTTGGAAGGTTGGTAATCTGAAGGTAATACGCCATTGGCCTAATTTAGAAAGAAATCCCTCAAGATTGGCTGCTGTTTTCTTGCAAATTACAGTATTGCAAATTACAGTATGTTGAGTGTGTAGCTTTGGACTCATGGATCTCCATCTTCCCCGCCTAAATTCAATCCTTTTGTGACTTTTCAAGGTTGAGAATTCAGAACAGGTAAAAAAAATCTGGAGTCTAGTAAGCATCTTTTCCAATTAATACAGTTTATTAAAAGGCATAAACTTTTGTGAGCTGCAGTTTCATCAGCTGCATAGTGCATCCTACATAATTTATGTAAGATTTAAATTTGTAGCTGGAAAAGTTTTTTTTCTTCTAGACTGACACTTATTTTCCAGTTCTGAGAAGAAAATTGAAATAAACTATCTTTTCCTTGATCCCTAGGATTGCAAATAACTCCAGAATATAGATTTATGCATTATAGTTTTGAAAATAGAAGTGACTTATCAATTCTATATCAACATAAGTTTCACCAGCTTGTGAGTTAATAGCATAGCTATTTAGTTTTTGCATTCTTTGATTTTGATGTACAAAACAAGAACTTGCACCTTATTTGTTTTTGGATACTTATTAAAGAATTCTCATACTTTAGTTTCTTTTTTAAGAATTAAAAAAGAACTAAACAATTCAAATTGTTAGTATATGAATGAAATATTACAATATCACAGATTTTTTTCATTCTAGGTTTCTTTGCTGATTATTTGTTACACTTTGTCATTTCTGCAGAGCTGATTAGATCTGTTAGGATGGAAACAAAGCACTTAGCAAGTAAGTAAGTGATGTGAGACAAACCTACTGCTGTATCACAAACATACTGCATTGCCAATCAGGTAAATTCCTAATTTTAACCATTTTGGGTCAACCTTTTTTTCCCCCTGCATGTATCTGCAGCATGGATAAGAAGGCCTAGTTGGCATATTGTCGATTACTTTTGGTAACATGTTTGCAGTGAAGCAGGGAAGGTACATTATTATTTCTATCATTATAAAATAATATATTTACCATTAGTTGTCTTTCCCTTCTAGGTAGATGAATTCCCACCTAAGAAATAAAATGGGTGGCAACCTGGCAACATTTCTATTTTTGCTGACTATCCATTAAACAGGCATGGGGAAAGAATTACAGTAAGATATTTTGTATAAGTCAGTGTGCTTATAAATTCCTAATTTGAGACCCTCATAACTGGCACTTTGAGAAATATACCCCCTCACATACTCCTATACATGAGCAATAGTTGGACAGGGCTTGAGGAACCAGTCTTCAGATTGCCTTGAAGTTGCTTGGATACCTTACATTGAATCAGTCTAACCTACTTCATAATCCTGTAAAAATAAAATGGTTGCAGCATGGAGAATTTAATCATATCATGTATTCTCTGCTGAGTTTCTAGAGGACTGTCAGAGTATAAATGAAAGAAAGAAGGAAAATTCCAATTTGGAAATTGTTTAGAAGCACTTCAAAAGGCAACAGATCATGGTAAGCTTTAGCAATTTGATTAGGTAAAACCCAAGTTAGCAACATATTTCACAAAAATGGGGTGTACTATAAATGCACTTTTAAAGGAAATAAAATGGATCATAGTTTATTAGAGGAAAAGAATCATGGAATCTTGAGCATCTGCATGATTTATGCAGTTGGGATTTAATGCATAAAAAGAAGTAAAATAACAGAATATTGAATTGTATTATGAAATAAAATTTCACAACATTTAATGAGCCCTGGCAAAAGGAAAATAGAAGTTGTGGCTGCATAGTTTCCACGTTTGTTATAGAGATCATATGTATATTTGCATAAGTTTACACAGCATGTTCATCAAGAAAGATGTAGATGCTGTACTGAGATGTTTTGGACCTAAATAATCTTTTTGCAGACAAATTGTGAGACAGTGATTATATCTGTACTGATAATGTCTAAAAGTACAAAATGGAACCGAGTTTCATCAGTCATTAGAAGTGTTCTAATTATGACTGTAATGGCAGTATTACAATACAAAATATAGTTAAAATCTACTGTATTAGAATCTAATTTGGGGAATCAGAAGTTTCACTTGTCAAAAGAATCAGAATCAAATATTAAAACAGCTACTTATTCCCTGCCAAAGGGCAAAGGGAGCTAAGCCTATAAATATAACCAACAGGTATTAAAACATTTTTATATAAAATCTGTAAAATTGATTATAATGCATTGTGCTATACTTTAGAAAGCAGGCTTTAGATGGAATTTTTATTAGAAAATCTCATAACCTTATAGTGAAACAGGGAGATGAACCAATGTAGAAGGGACACAAAAGAGAAAAAGGGAAGAGTAAATATTCCCTTTGAAGGACATAATACCTCAAAACTCATTGTGAAAAGAACATAGCAAAGCAAACAGTAGTAGAAGCTATGGTGTTTGTACATAACCATTAGGTGTGCATTTTATTGTTATATCTGATTGTTATTATACAAAATATATACAGATGAAAATGCAAAGCTGATAGCAGAGCTTCTGCAGTGAAATTAGGCTGCTTGGTCCCACTACTGATTGTAATGACAGACAGGTAGAAGGAAGCAGCTAGTATGTGAGTAAGGAACAGTCAACAGCATCATCAGTCTCAAACTTCCAGAACTGAACACAGCCCCACACATGTGTTTAACATCTACTCAAAGCATACTGTAAAGCATACTGTAATATGGAGACATATTAAATCAATATGTCAGGATGAAAGATAGATTAGAGCAGACTTTTGCATACTAACCCCTCCAGATGTGTTGAGCTATCCTATCATCCGCGTCTACTCTAGTGGACTGCTGATTGGCAGTGATAAGACTTGAACACATCTGGAAGGACCAAATTAGGAAAGAATTGTATAGGTTTCAGAGTCAGTTTATGAACCAAATCAAGTTAATATGATGGGGAAAATAGCAAATGTAATGCCAAATGAGAAGGACACATGACATCATGTTTTATAAAATAATTGGTTCATGTAATCATAATTTCTAAAGCAAACTCTCACTTTACCCATAAACATGCATCTGCAGAAGTGATAGTAAATTCATAAATTGTGCCATCCATAATTGTGAAAACTTACTTTATTGGATATTAGGAAGACAATCTGCATTCACTGAAATTTTATATGTAGCCTAAGACACTATTTTCAAATGTAAAACACCCTTGCACGGAGAATTGCTTCCTCAAACGGGGATAGAAGCCCTTATTTTAATCTGATGGCAAAAGAGCTGTAGAGTTCATTGTGATCAGAAAATGGATGTGGAGTTCCTTATTTGCTCCCAGGATAACTTCCCATAGATCTAAAATTGCATCTGAATTAAGAGAAAAAAGAGGAACGAGTTCACCTGTATGTGCAACAAACTGTGATGATGTCAAAATGATGATAAGGTTCATAATGGTGTCATCACATAACTGTTGCAAATATTTTATTTATTTATTTCATAGATTTATTTAGCCACCCAGCTCACCCATAGCAACTCCAAGTGGCAATTTTGTACACTACTTAAGGTCTAATATCTGACACAAGTAAAGTGTGGCATTTACATTATGACATCACAATGCACATTTCTTCATTTCCCCTCTCTCCTTCTGTAAATGAGATATTGTGGTAAAATGTGGGACAGACTTGCAGGAGGGGTCTTTCCCAAGGAGAAAATCAGTCTGGAATCCTTGCTATGCAGGAAGAAGACCAGAGCGGATCCTCTGTAACCTTTCATAGGGTATATTTAATAGTTACGCAGATTGTGCTTTAGTCGGGCAAGATTCCTGTCTATAGGCCAGCAACAATAAAAGTACGCTGAATAAATCCTGGTGGTGTTCTTGGTTCCAAGGAATCAGTATTACAATTATATCTATGTCCTTGGGAGTGGGAAAATATCGTCTGCTGATAGTGAAGGCAAGACTGTAATGGGTTGGATGATAAATTGGGCTTTATAAGTATTGGCAATCTTACATTCTTTTGAATAAGAAATATATTCTAGTTAGGCAAAATAAAAATAAATTATTTTGATAATAGTACAAGACCGTGGTGGCGAACCTATGGCATGTGTGCCACAGGTGGCATGCAGAGCCCTCTCTATGGGCACTCATGCCGTCGCCCCAGTCCTAGGCCTTCAGCTGTGTTTTATAAAACCTTTTTGCTTTTGGTCTCCGCCGCCATGTGCAAAAAAAAAAAAAAGGTTCAATCAATCAATTTCAACTTCTCGCGGGGAAAAAAAGATCTCGCAAAATTGGAATTGATTGATTGAACTTTTTAGTCCCACCCAGTCTGCCGTTACCACCGCAGCCATGCCCGCCCAATGGGTCATGCCCACCCAATTGGCCACATTCACCTAATGGGCCACGCCCACCCGGCACCCGACGATATATAAGTGGGTTTGGGGTTGCAGTTTTGGCACTCGGTCTCTAAAAGGTTTGCCATCACTGGTATAAGAGAATGATACACAGCAGTCATATCTCTATCCCTTTTGGCTGAGGAATTCCTCTAACACAAATATCAGAGGCTACTCCTCTGATTTTGCCCCACTTATATTTATCAGCACCAATTTAAATATCTTGCCCCCATGATGCATTTCTCCATATTAACTGTGAAACATAAAGTATAGCTTTTCCTCATGCTGTTTGTGTTGAGCTTCCATATCACATGAAGACATTTCTGTCCCTAGCAGTAATGGAAAACTTAAATATGACAGTAATATGCTGTGCGTGTTAAATTGAATGGCCACTATATGGAACCAGCTAATTCTAATGACACCATATACCCATTATAGCACATATCTCTTTAGGCAACTGTTGTGAGAAAAAATTAGAGAATAATAAACAGGTATTAGTAAGGCAATACCAATTGTTTTGGCTGACCTGAGTGGCCATTGGAGATGGTCAGGGAACTGAAGTGATTTTTTTTCTTCTCCCCCACTACTATTTTGGGCCTGAGAATTAAAGAACATCATTTGAATCGACTTTCATCTGAGGTTAGTCCAACAGAAGTATGGAAGGAGATTGCAGAAATGAAATATGGAAACTAGGAAAATACGCTTAAGTAGAATAGTTTTTCTTATATCAAATAAAAGAGAAAATAACAAAATATTAAGAAAATGTTTCTTTGAAAAAAATTAAAACATCTTAATGGGTGATACTAAACTTTCTCCAGAAGCAGACTCCAGTGATCTTAATAATATACGTATGATGGCATAATGCAGGGGTCTTCAAACTTGGCCCTTTTATGACTTGTGGACTTCAACTTCCAGAATTCCTCAGCCAGCGTGCCTGGCTGAGGAATTCTGGGAGTTGAAGTCCACAAGTCATAAAAAAGGGCCAAGTTTGAAGACTCCTGGCATAATAGATTAGCAAAATGTAAAATAATCTCAAGGGGAAGAGCCATATGTGGCTACAGTGCACATGGCAGTCTGTTTGCATAGCTAATAAATCCTGAGCCAGCCAGTTCCATTTCTAGACTCAATCCAATATTTCCTGCACTTCTTTTGGAGTCCTGAAATATTTATTCCTCTTGCAATCCGTACAATAGAAGTCCTTGAAGCTTGCTTTGTGTGACAAGTTACCCTAATACATATTAAGAGCTGGGAGAAAAAAATCTGAAACTGAAAAAGAAACATCTGAAGTTACCACGACTGATTATTAAGAGGAAATACCAGTGCAGACCGCCAGTAAAAAAGAAATGTGGATTAAATTTAATATTTGTATATTAGAACAAACCATTTATTTCAGGGGATGAAAAGATGAAAAATAGCCATCTATTTATTAAATATTAACTGTTGCATACTTCTCAATCTAGTGCCTTTCATTTATTAAGATTGCAACTTCTATAATATGGTTGTGCTGATTGGGAGTTCTTAAAAGCTGCTGTAGTAATAATTCTGCAGGATTTCTTCAGATGCAACACTTTTTTTCAGATGTATAATAGCCCAGTCAATTTGTGGGCATCATTTTGGGGAAAGGCTAGTATATAGTGATAACAATATACTTTGGTATTTTCTTGGTCTGTTATGATTCAGTTTTGCATCTGTTAGAATTTTCATGTTTGCTGCTTGTTTTCTTTTTGAATTTAAATATCAAAGCCTACCTATTTTCCTATTGCCTCTTATCTTGATTCAGTATAATATCTTCATTACTTTATTCCCTCATGCTGGGCATCTTTCCTCTGGTCTATTCAGAATATCCCAAGTGGTCTCATCTCTTGCCATATTACATTTTCCTTTAAATTGACCTTCGTCAATATATTCAGTGTTACGTTTCTTCTCTTTCCTCATATTTTTACTCCATATTGCTTCTCTTCCTTTTTCATGTAGTTTCCATGTTGTACTCCTGAGTTTACACAGCTGTTCTATTATCAGCACCCTTGTATTTATTTTTATTTTTACTTAAACCCTTTAAAAAAGGCTTCACTTTTTTTTCAAAGTGCTTTATAAATAATAAATAATAAAATAGGTTTTATCCACTTGTTCCTCTACTAATGATTTCCCTAGCACATCCCCATTACTACATCCCTGTTGTGCCTATTCAACATGTCTGTTATGTTGCTGTTATGTTCTGTATAGAACCTGGCATGCTCTGAAGTTGTTCGTTGTTTGTAATGCTTTGACAACTGAAGGGCCCATGGGCTGTTTAACAAAATCATAAAAATAACCCTTTGCACGTGCTAAGGGAAAGTTCCTTTACAGAAAAAGGAGATTGTTGGCACAGGAGAGGAACACCCAGGTGTATCTCCCTCTATTTTCCCAATAGATTTTTTTCTATTCCTCTCATGTGGGTTCCCCCTTCCATTCAACACTACTTCTGCTTCTAATCTGTCTATCCATATAATTCAAAGACAAGGCACAATGTTGAATTTTGCCCTAATCCCACGAGTCCAGAGCCCTCACACATGGATATTACCATGGCATTAAGAATATTGCTATCCAAAACTTTTAGCTGATCCCTTTGTTTCTCATTTAAGGATACTGGAGCTCTTGGTACTTCTGTAGAGTATCTAGCTGCAGAAAGTAATTAATAGTAATATCATAACATCATCATCTGGTGACACATCCAGTGAGACTTCATAGAATTTTTTCTTAGAATAGAATAGAGCTGGAAGGGACTTTGGAGGTTTTCTAGTCCAGCCCACTGCTCAAGCAGGAGAACCTATACCATTTCAGACAAGTGACTGTCCAACAGATTTAGATTCCATTCTGACCTAAACATTTCTACTAAGTAAATTTCCCTGTTTCTAGTTCCGTTTGCACCTTATTTACTAAGTCAGGGAGCAGTGAAAATCTTTGACCCAATTATTTGGTTAAGCACTTTTTCTCTGAATAGCAATTTGAACATAATTTGTAACTTATCTCCTGATTTCTAAAAAAAGGTAATAATTCTTTTGCACTTAAGTCTGGAGTGATACAAAGTATCCACACTTTGTGTGTGTGTGTGTGTGTGTGTGTGTGTGTGTGTGTGTGTGTGTGTGTGTGTGTGTGTGCAAAAAAAAAGAACTTTCAGAGCAAAATACCATTCTTCTGCAGTTTTCTCCAGAAAAGCTGAGTTCAGTTGAATGTAACAGCAGAACTGCAAGATATCTTAACACTGAAAAATATTGCCTCCACTTGTTGGAAGCATTAGAATATTACTCCATGTGCTGTGAGAACCTTGGTGCAAATCAGATGGACTCCCTTCCCTGAAGGTAAGAGTGCATTTACAAGAGTTTTTAACAATTGATGCTTACATTGCCATTTGAGGGTGTGAAAGCCCTAATGTGGGATCATGGGGTTGCTGTGATTTTGAGAAGTCTTTAAGGAAAAGCATATAGTGATAGGTCAGTGCAGTTTTTTGAGGGGAGGCAATTCATTTTGCAGTTAATTTCCCAGAATAAGAGCTTCTAGGACACGCTCCTTGCCTAGCCTTATTGAATCCAAACAAAGACTCCCATTTGATTCCCCTTGTAGGGATTCCCCATCCCACCCCAGTTGGATCTTGAGTACATGAGGATTGTCTCCACAAAATGGGCCTGCTTTGTCCATGCAGCCAAGGGAAGAGTGCCTCAGGGATACACCAAGCAGAGAAGCCCTGGTGTGTATGTGACGGTCTTGGCTCCAGGTGTGGTCAGCTAGATCACATTGTCAAAAAGCTTCATGGAACACATGATGTTTTCATCCTGCCAGAGAAAAGATGGAATCGAGGCCTTAGTAAAAGTGGGAAATTAAGAAGGTATAGCTTTACTGTTACTAAAAAATTTGTTTCAGCACTCTTTCCTCACAACCTGCCTTGGCTGAAGGAGTATTTTCCAACTTCTTCACTTTACTCCCCCAATTGCACCACAATAGTATTAACATAAATCCAAAGCTAGTAGTGAAATATCACTACCTGATCTCACTGATGGTGGTGATAAAAAGTTCTCATCTATAGAGCAAAGAATAGGACTGGCTACACACTTTTTCTTTATTCACTGCTATAAAGGATTAAAATGCCAGAAGGATAATGGTGTTACCTTCTGACAGGATTCAATGAATTCATCGATAGTCACCACACCATCTCTGTTCCGATCCATTTTCTGAAATGTAAATGAAAATTGATGAAGAAACAAAGTAGTTTCCTAGGAGACTTTCAAATGCAGAGAAATACCCTATAATATCTTAACACATTTTCAGCCTAGAGACAGCTGGTCTAGCAACATGTCTATGATCTGAAAAGCCCCACCAGTAGAAAATGGCTTTATATCTCATTATTTTGAAAATATTTTAAGGCAGAAAAGCCTTGGCAATTTTAAGATTTGTGAACTTCCAACTCTCAGAATTTCCCAACCAGCAAGGGAGTTGATCCACAAGTCTTAAAGTTACAAAGATTGGACACACCTGATTTAAGGAGACAGAAACAATCAAGTTGCTAAAAAAGTTCATGAACGTAATTATAGGAATTATACTATGGGCAGGACTAAGACTGAAGGAACCAAAAGGAAAGGGAAAAGTAGGAAGAGGCTTTGTCCTCCCAAAAAGCAGACCAAAGTAATACATACTCTTGACCGTGAAAAGGTTTCCACAGGTAAAGTGCAGGATACTGACATGGAAATATTCTGATACTAAGCTTACCTGGAAAAAATTTTCCACATGTTCCTGGGGTGCCTCTTCTCTCATGGCTGGATAAGTGTACTTGCCCATCATGTCATAAATGGATTTCATTATATCCAACATTTCCTAAAAGTCAAAACACTGAATTATTAGCCAAGATGGCCAGCAGATTCTTACTGAAGCAGATTCAGCGAAGTTCATCATCTTCTGGCCTTACTGATTTCTGTTACTGTCTGTACCTCTTTGGTGATACAGCCATCTTTGTTCAGATCATAGAGATTGAAGGCCCAACTGAGCCGATCATCTATAGTGCCACGGAGAATAATGGACAAACCAGCCACAAAATCCTGCAAGAGAAACAAGGTGATGAAGAAAGGATGAAATACAGTCTAAGCATTACTGCAGCTGTGATATGCTGCAGGAATGTAAAGTAGATCCAGTGACCACATGCAGTTCATTTAGTGACTGTTCAGAGTTACAATGGCACTGAAAAAAGTGACTTTTGACCATTTTTCGCACTTATGACCTTTATAGTATCCTCATGGTCACAAGATCAAAATTCAGAAACTTGGCAACTGTCTCATATTTATGACAGTTGCAGGGTTCCAGGGTCATATGATTACCTTTTGTGACCTGCCAAGCAAAGTCAATGGGGAAGCTAGATTCACTTAACAACCATGTCACCAACATAACAACTGCAATGATTCACTTAACAACTGTGGTAAGAAAGGTCGTAAAATGGGGCAAAACTCAATAAGAGTTTTGCTTTGCAACAGAAACTGGTTGTAAGTTGAGAAGTACCTGTATAGACTGATAGATTCTATCTATCCATTTATGGTAGAAAAGAATATTTGGATGAAGATACAATTGCTTAAGATTGAGTAGTTTAATACATATAACACAGGTATAGGCAATTATTTCAACCTCTCCTTTAATTATACTTGCTGGAAATCTTTGGCATAGTTTTTGTCCTGTTTTTGTATTGTCAGTGATAAACACCCCTTTTAAAATATGCATTCTGTTGTGTGTTAAATCCTGAGGAACATAAATACAGATTCTTTTTTTAAATAGATATTTTATTAATTTTTTATAGTTACATATCTTTAGTGCTTAATAAACAATGTGTTGTCGGTTCACATATTTAACATTGATATTAATACAACTTCCATTTCTATTCTCTATTCCGCTTTTCTAGCCATTTATAAAAATTATTCCATGTTTGAAAATATTCTGTATCTTCTTTCCCTTTCATTTTCAATGTAAGCGTATCCATTTCTGCACAATCCAAAATTTTCCTAATTATATCTTCTTCTGATGGTGTTTCTTCATTTTTCCAATACTGTGCAAATGTAATTCTCATTGCTATTAATACATGTAATATTAAGTATATACATTTTTGTCATTGTTCTCTGTAATTATATCTAAGAGAAATAGTTCTGGCATAAAATCTACATGTTTTCTTAATATTTTCTGTAACCACATGTATTTTTGACCAAATTTGTTTTGCTTTAGGGCATGTCCACCAAAGGTGATATAGTACATGCCTGGCTTTTGCCTATATTTCCAACAGTTACTAGACAGATACAGATTCTGATTGTACCAGCAGATGACCTATTATTCAATGATTAGTTGAATGGCAAGGTTCAAAATTAGAATACAGAAGTATGTATTCCTTTAAAAAAAAATCTAACTGTAGACATGGTATTCATCTGAACACAACATTCTTGGAAGGCAAAGTGACTTCCATCAGCACAATTCTATTGTAGCCAATCTTTTTGGAGTGAGGTTAAAGGAGGTTAACTGCTTTTTTGCAAAGTTATGTTATTTATGCTTTAATTTGTCTATAAGAGTCCTGAGTATAACTGCTAAGATAAATAAAATTTCTTCAAAAATACTAATTACTCTGCAGAAGGCATTTATCCCTAGGCATTATTTCTACCTGCCCCATCAGATCCAGCAGAAGAGACATGCTATGGATCCCGTCAGTTAAGGAGTGTCATCTTGCAGGACCCAGGAAATGAGCCTTTTCTATTATAATACATCCCCTTTGGAACATCATTCCTTAGAAGAATAGATTAGACCCAACTCTGCTGGATTTTGTCAAGGCCTTGAAGAAGTGGTCCTGTTCCCAGCTGTTGGCTGCCCAAGATTGCCATGGTGAAATGCGCAGCCATAGAAACACACACACACACACACACACACACACACACACACACACACACACACAATAAATAAGAGTTGGTACAGTTGCTTTTAGTTTTGTGTTATAGGGGCTCACATATAAATAAATAAATAAGTACATGGAATCTTACCTCAAAGCTGACAGAGCCATCGTGATCAGTATCAAATGCGTTGAAAAGAAAAGTTGCATATGTACTAGAATCTAAAAACAGATACATCAAACCTAGTAAGAACTACCATGTATGTATATTTTAGTGGATTTTATTGAATCATTTGATTGTCAGGAAACTATTAGAGAAAATAGCTAAGCTGAAACTTTTTTGAAATTGTAGATACCATAACTTGATGATCTCTCGCTCTTAGATGCAAAAGATGTAGTTATTTCAACATTTACCCTCTTTTGTATACACAAGAGAATGTATTAATAGAAATACATATCAAATTAAGAATAGTTTTAGCAACAAGTGAGCAATAGTGTAAAAGTACTATTAAGACTATATCAGCAACCAATGTAGCATCCTGTTATTTCACTTTCTGTGAAACTAATTGAGAGAGCCATGCAATATAGTGTACTATCTTTTACATGCCAGAAAGGACATCTACAGAAAAAGTATGAAGGCCACAACTAAAAGTCTCCCAAAGTGGAGGATGAACATTTTATCACTATTCTGATCATGCTGGTGATACTCCATTAGAACTGAGAATACAGTATTCCAAGAATAATTGTGCACCTTAAGCCCCTCATTTTTCAAATATGAATCAATAGTTATGCCAGGTTAGAACTGGCATAATAAATTTATTTTAATTAAAGGAAAGTTAGAAGAAGGAAATAACACACCCAGCTATGGCAAAACTAGGATTTGGGGATAACAACAAGTATCACTTTTACAGAATTGTTCTGTGATACATAATCATGAAGTTGGTTTCAAAACAAAGCCTAGTTATTTGTAGAATCACCTGACTTTAACCCTTTCTGCCCATCCCACCCATTTTCACATGTTGGCCAAGCTCCATATCCTCTCCCTGAGGCAATGTTGTCTATTGGGATCTGTGGCAGATCCCTTGAAATGATCTCTTCCCTCTGAGTTTAAAATGGCCCAAAGACTGTCGGCCTCCCAGAAAGCTTTGAAAACCTGCTTTCTGTCCCAGTTATTGGGTCAGGATGATGAATAAATCTGTCTTCTGGAGCTGGTTGCTACTAACTTGATGTTATCCGATACATTGTTTATAGATAGCATATAATTCTGTGTGGTTTCTTGTTTGGTTGGTTTATATTTAATATGCACTATCCAAAGTCATGTGTTATGTGTCTGATTAATGAAACATTTCAAAGAACTTTCAGGCATTTTTTTTAACCTAAAAGCCTTTATTAAGGTTACAGAGATGTCAGTACGGCATGGTGGAATGCTAAGATCTGATTTTCCCTTCCTTTGCATATAACATTCCAGGCATTTTTCCCTCCCCTATTTTAGGGTCATGATTCACATCTTCCAATTAACTTGGAGGGCCAAGATTCACTTCCGATTCCTTTTTCCCGGGCTTTCCCTGTTGCCTGATTTAACTCTAAAAAATGCCAGACAGTTCTGCATATTGTCAAAGCAAGAATATACAGTATTTGCAGTGTTGACATCATGATTATATGAGTTGAATAACTATGTATATCTTTTAAATAAGGAAAATATCCATTTAACATCAAGGCAAAGAAAGTGGGCATATTTAAAAGTGCCACAATTGACAAAGTCACTATTCCTTTGATGTATGATCCAATGAACAGTGTTCACATATTTTTATTTTATCCTGTGAGGGAGGCAGAGGATTATTCCAGGGATATATGTTTGGCAATGAAGGTAAGGCAACTATAACTGAGGATGTAAAGTCTCTCATCTTTTATTTCCAACAACTGCCAGCTTACTCTTCTTACCTAGCTTTGCAACATTTCCAAAGTATTAGCTCTTCTGATGAAGGACTTACCTCCCTGTGGGAAGAATTGTGAGTAGATCTGCTTGAAGCTCTCTTCATTAACAATCCCACTAGGGCATTCCTATCAAATAGAAAAGTGTACATTGTTCACTAGTTGGAATTGCTAATCTACAGTATCCCAGGTGCAGCAAGCAGTGTAATCTATGAGAAACTGATTTTAGTTTCCCCATCAAACAATAAAAGAAAGAGGAATTCTCTCCTTTTGAAGAACTTGGATATTAGTTATCTCCTAGGCGTGTTGGCAGTGAACAACTGGGAAGGTCAAACTAGGGGCAACAAGTGTAGCAACCAGCCTTAGCATTGGCAATGAAATTATTAAAGTGGTGGATAGCTGCTATCTTTCAGGATCAACTATAAACAACAAAGGACCCAGCAGTCAAGAAATATGCTGCAGACTAGCATTTGGTAGGATAGGTAGGATGAAAATTTGATTTTTTTTTTGTTTCTTTGTTTTTTGGTGTCTTTGAGTCAGTGTTGACTTCTGATGACTATGTGGACAAATCCTTGCAGTTTTCTTGATCAGAGTCAGAATTTTGCCATTGCATTCTTCTTTGGTTGGGGAGAAGGTAACTGGCTCAAAGTCACCCAGCTAGCTTCATGCCTAAAGTGGGATTAAAACTCACAGTCTGCCAGTTTTTAGCCTGATGCTTCAATCACTATAGCAAAATGGCTCTCAAACTTGGTAGGATTGCAATGAAGATTTGAAAAAAGTATTTAGATGCTGTGACATGTTTATACCTGCAAAATTCAGAATTGTGTGGAAAAAGGTTTTCCCTGTGACACTCTATGAAAGCAAAAGTTGGACGTTAAAGAGGTAGGATAGAAAGAATATGGATGGTTTTGGAGTTGCAGAAAACTTCTGAGAATACCATGGAGGAAAATAAGAAAAGAAGAATATTGAATTACATGGAACTAAATGGTGTAACTGCAGCTTAATGTGAAAAATAATACAAAAATAGTACAAAGTCATCTGTATAACAATTATTCTTTGCTGTTCTATAACGTCTTTAAGCAACTTAATGTGATAAATATATAGCAGGCTTCATTTTTTTTTCTTTTTACTGCTGTGTATTATGTTGACTAAAATCAAAAGGGAGGTTTATGCCTCCTCCTTCAGCTGTAAAATTCACCCTTCACGTTCTGAAAAATATCTAAACTAAAATGGCAACAATGGAGGGTGGGTTTTTATCTTGCTTTAAACTGAAGAGAGAAAAGGAAATGTTGCAGATATAAAATTAATCCTTCTGCACTTACATACTGTGATCTTCTTCAGGTCTCCAAATAATGAAGAGAATGGGAGGATAAAGTAAAACTTGAAGAGTAGCTGAATGCAGTTTGACCTTCAGAAAGAGGGGGAGATATATTTGTTGGGAGTCCCAATAAAGACAGAAGATAGTACAGAGGTCAATTCTGAAGAGAAAACTGCTACCAGAATGTGGTATTAAGTTAGATAATCAGATAAAAATATCTTATTGCAAAAACAGGATTGCAGAATTGTTCAGGTTTTTAGGATATAAATAAGCAATTACCAATGGTATAATAACACAGGTATATAGTAAATAAATAATTATGGTGGTTCATTTAAAAAAAAAGCAACTCAAGAGAGGAAGGAAAGAAGGCAAAGAAGGAAATGCCAGGTAGAAAGGGGAGAATCTTTTCAACTCACATTCTTGAAGCCTCGGTATAAGACTTGTAGTTCTTTGCGGCTGAACTTAGTTTGTTCCTGTAGTTGTTCCAGACCCTCAGGCCGATGACAAACAGTGGCGAGTTCAAGCTCATCCTCTACGCTGTCTGTTGGAAAAAGAAGAACCTCAGAAGTATAGTAAGGCACAACCTCAGTCTCTTCCTCCCTTCCCTCACTCCATCTTCTTTCCTCTTGAAGATACTGATTTTTTTTCCCCAATCCTCAGACTGACACAAAAGGGCTCATTATATTTGACTGAACATAAGAATAAATGCCTCTTTTTTTAATTTTCTGGTAAAAGAACCTATTTTAAATATGTATGCATGCTACAGAACTTCTGAAGATACAGTCTTAAAATAGAGGCAAAATCAGAGCCCCCGTGATCACACCATAGGTTAGAGGAGGAGTTGACTTCTAGTCTATTCATAATAGAGCTCTATCAACCAAGTCCCCCTGTTTGTATTGCTTAAAAGGAATCAAAATGAGAAAAATAAATTTCAGGACAGGTTTAGATGGGAACTGGAGGCTATAGCTTACCCTATCATCCACGAGCACAAGAAATGAATAATATATGCTTGCCACTTCCCTGTACAATAATAACTTCGAGGATTTACATTCAATTACATGAGAAAACACATGAAAAACGTGGAATGTTGTTAGACTACCTAAGGCATATAAATCTACAAACAAGTGGGAGAAATATTTACAGTGGGCAGCAAAGCTACAAATATGCTTTGGATACTCAAAGAGCTGTTGCACCTGAAAGATATTCCTTCATTATCCAACTCTGCCCTAAGGCCATACTCAACAGTTTCTTAGTGATTTAATGCAAACAAACAAAATGAAATGTCTCACCTTCTAAGACAGAGCGTAGAAAGTTTCAAGCATTAAAAAACATAGTCTTTTTGTTAAATTGCCGATAGATCATTTATTAGTTGCAAGGCAAGTAAAACCATAAACTAATTCACAAAAGCCAAGAGAATAAATATTAGAGGTGCAACACACAAGCATTGCTGCACATGTCTCTCTCCGCCAGTTTTTTAGACTCAAACACAAATATGTAAAAAGAAATCTGAAGCTGTGGAACTCTAATCCCGATCCTTTAATCACTATGCGTATTGACATCGGTAAATCACAGATTCTCAAGGGTATTTAGTAAATCACAGCAATGAACTCAATAAGCTACTGAGAATTGCAAAAGAACCCTTGTATTCTCAATTTAAGACAATCTTCAGTACATTGCTTGAAGTATATATGGAAGGGAAGTGTGTGAGTGCAGATAAATACATATACAATAGATATATTGCAAAGGTCCCTAATGAATTTATTTTTCCTAGGGGCTAGGATAAAAACGTATTTCAAAATCAGAAAAGAGTGGAAAGAAAAACAGTTTATTTCTTATCATTTGGACTATTTAAACTTTGCACAGATCACTAAAACATCCTGAAAAAATAGACCAGACTTTGGCAGTAGCATACAACTATTATTACCAGTAATGAGTTGAACAATCTGCTGAATGTGGACATTAAGCACATCCTTAACTTGTATCTGGCATGATGTTAATAAATACAGAACAAACCTGTCTACAAAGCTTGGTTTACAAAAGGAAAAGGAAAAGATCCATCTCTCAACAAGAGTTAGCCAGTACTTTAGGATTAAATACACAAATTTGATGCCCATAATGGTTCTGCACACTGTAGTAAGCACTTACAGAAGGTAACAAAGACCCAATTCCACCACAAGGTAATGGTACAATATTAGTGGCTCAAGTCAGAAAATCTGCCTTGGGTATCCATTTTGTATCTGAGGTATTACTAACATGTAATTATTATTACAATATACATTTGAGCTAAAAATTTGTTTTAAGAAAAGAACTATCTAAGGATTTTATATAAATTCTGTACAGAGGGAATCCTTTTCCCCCCCTTCCTGGATATTATAATGTCACAGCACAGAGAAAATAAAGAGGCACAAAGTATCACTTGCTTTCGCTGATTGAGGGGATGGATTTAGGCTGGCGGCAGCAGGGGAGCAGCTTGAGGAACCGCTGCTTCAAGGCTTTTTTAGCATGACCAGATGGATTGCCTGCAAGAAAATGACAAGCGCCACAAGGAATTAACACATCATGGCGTCTTTTATCTACCCCAATCATTCCCTCTCAGTCTCAGTCATAATAAGCATGGAATAAATCGAAGAAGACAAACATGCATAACCTCAGTGCTGCAAAAAAAAAAAAAGTCCAACTTAGTTACAGCACAAAACTCTCCTAAAACAAATAATCATTCCTCTCAATCAAAGTGGATTGTAGGAAATAAGTAAAAAGATGAGAAAGGAAAAGAGCACAGATGTTTATGTATCCTCTTTTTCCACCAGCAGCATTTAGAAGCCACAATTTAACAGTCTCAAATCCACCTACTGAGCATGCAGTGACATCATGAAAAAACTTCATATCTGGGCACCCCAAGTGTAATACACACTGGCAGATTTTGTGGAATCAAGGAATTGATACTTGGAAACATACTGTTCCCCCCCCCCCCCGCTGCACAATTGTTAGATAGTTAATAAAATTAATAGTATAGTTGAATCCTGCTACATTCTCAGCTCAGGCATGAAAATTAAACAATTGCAAGGTGACTTTGTTTATTTCTTCCCGCCATTTGTAGTTTTGTACATTAAGGAGGCACAAAACTACATTTGTGACCATATTGATGCAGGTCTTAGTTTTAAAATGTAATTCTAAATTTGAGAACACTAAAAGGCAATTAGTTATATATGCATAAGTCTGGAGCAGGTGTAAAAAGATTTAAAACAAAAATTAGAAAACAACATAGTTAATTCATTTGAGCCAAAGCACTGAGAATGCAGCAACTGATCATGCATTTCAAAAGAACAAGTGGTATAGGAAACCACGTACACTGTATTTCATTTATTTTTGCTGTCCTGGCTTTCATTAGTTCATTACTCTCTTGGCAGCTACTTCTAACCACAGATAATAATTGCAGTTGAAATAATAACTTTAAAAACTAGTCACTCTCTCTTTCTCTCACACACACATTTTTGTCCTTATTAAGATCTAATATACATGTTAAACTAGTTGATTTCTACCATGATATTAACTAGGAAGAGATAGATGATTCTTGCACAGAATATGTACATCATTTGTCACCTTTTTTATAAGCACACACCTGGAAACCTTAGCTGCATTTGCAGCAGTTGATGACCACACAGCTTTATGATCAAATTGCCCAGAAAATAACCTCTAAATGGGTAATAAATAATAAATCAGCCCAGAAGCAAATATAGCTTCATTTTGATCTGCAATGTCTAGATAAAAAGTACTGCATAAGAATCTGTCAGTTTCATTTTCCATGGTTAGAGTTCCTGTAAGTTGTTTAATAACTTATGTAGGGACATCTTAAAGAGTATCAAGAATGACTTTGCCAAGCCATGGTTTTTTTATTATTATTTTTTGCTAGTATATCTTAAATTTTCAGAAATGGCTACAAGAGCTACATTATCCCTTTGCTGTCTTGAACAGAAGTCCACCACGTGTCTTTATTTGTCCATATCTTGGCCTTTTTAATCCTGGACTGTAAAAATATTTTACCCCATTTCTAAGCAGTAACCTGAATAGCGGAAGCTTCCTACTTCGGCCTGTTCTTTCATACCAGTTTTTCCCATCACTGATCCTTTGTTTAGTCTCCTGTAATGCTCCCCAAATGTGTGCTCTGGTGACTGGACCTTTGGATCTTTTTCAATTTTGAAAAAGTGTGTGTGCATGTGGGGGGGGGGTATTATCCCTTTCTGATACATGCTACTATATCCTATTATAGGATTGCTTGCTTCATGGCATAGACTTTAAACTCTCAGCTAACCTGAACTCTCTAGTCACCTTCTTAGAAAGTAATCATATGAAAAAATATTGTCAATGGGATCATATGAAAAAATAATCACCAGCTTAAAGGAAGCTGGGATGCCAAATGAAGAATTTAATATAAAACTTCAAAAAGAACACAGCTACATAAGTATCTACATCCGGAGTCATAATCATACCACCTTCAATGAACATAGTGAAAAGAATTTCCTTCCTAAGGAGAATCTGCTTTACAAGAGTAATAAAACCATTGTAGTACAGTGGTTAAAGTGTGAACTAGCACCAAGGAGACTCAGATTCAAGGCCACCCTTAGCTATGGAAACTCACAGGATGATTTTCAGCCAGTCCTCCTTTCTTAGCTTAAGCTATCTCAAATGCTGTTATGGGAATAAAATGAAGGGAAATTCCCAGGTAAATGCATAAAGCTCTGGGGGGGGGGGAAATGGATATAATTCTAACTAATTAATAATATACTGCCTACTGAACAATTATTATAGTCCCTCTAAGGTCAGCCATTAAAATATAATTTACCCCAGAAAATATGTTCAAAGAATAGAGTGAATTAACTTATTATTATGTTTTTCATATTAAAATCAACTTCTGAAAGCTCACTTAAGAATCAATTAATCAGTGGAACAACCTGCCTCCAGAAGCGGTGAATGCTCCAACACTGTAAGTTTTTAAGAAGAGACTGGACAGCCACTTGTCTGAAATGGTATAGGGTTTCCTGCCTGAGCAGGGGATTGGACTAGATGACCTCCAAGGTCCCTTCCAACATTATTATTATTATTATTATTATTATTATTATTATTATTATTATTATTCCTCTATTAAGGCGTTTCAGCACTACAAATGGATGTGTTGGCATATTTGTTGCAAAGAAAGACACATTTTTGGGTTTGGGGAATGGTGGGAGGACACAGAACAAATAATACGCATTGTTATCATATACAGAGGGACATAACATGGCAACCAATGCAACCCTCCTTTTTTTCTGCAAAAACAATGCAAAAATTTTAATCAAATTATAAACTCTTACAATTTATCCAAAGTCATTCACCTAAAAAAAACCACTGCACAGCCATGCATCTATCTATATAAATAAAAATGTAAATGTTCGTTTGTTCAAAATCTTAAATCTCCGAAAGTTCTTCACCGATTGCTTTGAAATTTTGACACAACGTTGCATTCGAATACGCGCGTGTTTTTATATACCTACTATTATATAGATG